ATTTTAAAAATATAACTATTGAAATCTAACGTATATTTTCTTTGAATTTGCCTCTCGTCCTCTCTTAATCATTTAAACTTAATATTTTATTGTCGTTTCATATTAAAATTATATTTCAGATCTTTTACAACAATTCAGCTAGATAGATCTCCAAGAATTTCAATTCGTTAAAAAATTTCTGTATAAAAGACATAGACTTATTTAAACGCGGCAAGTGATTTCTCAATCGCTATTAATTAAACTCAAAATTCTTAATTACATTCTTCTATTCTTCAGAAAAACGAAATATCGCCAAAAAAAAATAGAGGTAAACGAAAGAACGCGTGCACACGAGGTTAGAAACAATCGATTCACAATATTTACTGTACACAAAGTGAATTCCTTAAGTGCACGATAAATATTTATTATCCTATATTCGCTCTCTCGCGAAACGCTTCATCCCGACCGGATAATCCTTTTCTTTCCTCACTTCGCTCGATATTTATAACCGCCAATCATTGACCGATAGAAGTCGACGTTTCTTTCGCAAAAACGTTTCGTCAAGTTTTCGTGAACTCGCGTGCGACCGAATCGCCTATCTCTCGGCAGAGTGTTCCTTTGAACGTTTGCCGCCACGGAATGAGAGCGAAGGTGCGTCGCACCTTCGCGTACATCACGTTTCCGCGCAACTGCACCGCTTCTGCACGCTCGCGTGCACACCGGGGCAGCCTCACACGAGTGCGCCGAGTGCAGATGTCGCTGATCTCGCGCATTTCCTGTGACCCGATCTGCGAGTCCTCGTCAACCGAGCGTAAAACTGCGCATTTCGTCGAAGCCACCGTGCATCGCCGGGAGGAAGAGTGCACGGTATAAATCGAATCTGATTTTTTCCCGTTGATTTCAATCCGACGCGGGCGGCTCGCGTCCAATTCGACTCGGCGAATCAGCGGATTGGCATCGCCTCCACTCGACCGTCCAGAGGAACGCCATTGTGAGCCGTACCGACTGTGCAGCACGGTGAGTGTTACCGTTCATTTTCACGTGCATCACCGCGTACCCGGGAAATTTCCATACCGCCGCCCCGTTTGTCCTACGCGCGAGAGCGGCGACGAAGCGACGGCGAACGTAACGGGCGCGCGGAAAGGTCGCGTCGCGCACCGTCGTCGATCACTCGGAGAAATCGGAGGGAAAATTCCGACTCGCGCGAACAACACGACGGGCGCCATTCCCCGCCGGCGCGCAACGGCAATCTCCCGACGGACATCGGTGTGAACGCGCGATCCGATCGGCTTTTCCCTGTGATTTTCTCCGCCGCCGACCGCAGACGCGAATCGTCCATCGAGTATCGCGATCGCGCGATTCCTCCGATCGCGTAACCGGAGCCTCCACGGTCACGTTCCGTACGCGTGATTGCGGGATTTTCCAGTAAGTTCGATCGACCTCCCCCTGAACGGTTTCCTTCTCGGGGTTCGTCTTTTCAACGGTCGCCGATAAGCCGCGATCGTTCACCTGCGCGTTTGACGGACATTCTCCCGCGATAAATCCAAAGACACCTCGAGACGGCATTCCACGAGGAATTTCCCGCATGTAAACTCCGTACCGCGTGCATGCTACTTCGCCCATTTATGTTTTTTCACTCACCGCGCAATTGCTGAATCAAGTATTTTAAGTATCATTTCTTGTCTTGCAGAGAGCCTTTGACTTTGCGTCTTTGACTTCGATCGAATCGACAAAAAAAAAAAAAAAATACAACGATCAAAATGGCAAATGAGCCTGATATGCCCACCTTCAAGTGTGTGCTGGTCGGCGACGGTGGTACCGGCAAGACCACCTTCGTCAAACGACATCTGACTGGCGAGTTCGAGAAGAAGTATGTCGCTACCCTGGGAGTCGAGGTCCACCCGTTGATCTTCCATACCAATCGTGGACCGATCCGCTTCAATGTCTGGGACACGGCCGGCCAGGAGAAATTTGGTGGCCTTCGCGACGGCTACTATATTCAGGGACAGTGCGCTGTTATAATGTTTGATGTTACATCCAGAGTAACATACAAAAATGTACCCAACTGGCACAGAGATTTGGTCCGCGTCTGCGAAAACATACCGATTGTTCTCTGCGGAAACAAAGTTGACATTAAGGACAGGAAAGTAAAGGCTAAGAGCATCGTATTCCACAGGAAGAAGAACTTACAGGTATTTTTTTATATCTTGTAACATGAACTTGAATCTTATCTATTTCTCATATCTTTAAAACCTTTTGATTTTTATATTCTCTTGTATATTTTGTTGATGATGATTCAGTGACCTGATATAAAATGAAGACATTGCACTGTCCCTCTAATCTGAAAAGCTTTTTTATTGTCTTATGTATTGCTATTATGTATAACTTGCACAGAATATATAGAAGATGTAATTTTTCTATGTATAGTACTATGACATCAGTGCAAAGAGCAATTACAACTTCGAGAAACCCTTCTTATGGTTGGCACGCAAATTGATTGGAGACCCAAACCTCGAATTCGTCGCTATGCCTGCACTGCTACCACCAGAGGTTACCATGGATCCACAATGGCAGCAACAAATCGAGAAAGATCTCAAGGAGGCTCAAGAAACAGCATTACCAGAAGACGACGAAGATCTTTAGTTTATTTAATATTGGGAATGGCCTTCACACACAGGGAGTAAGGCCTATTACACGGGTGTTCCTTGGTTGTACCTGTGCACTCGTACATCTTCATAGAAATCGAAGATTCTTTCTTTTAAGAAAAAAAAAGCAAGCAGTTTACATGCAATGTTCAGTTCGATGCTTTACACTGAACACAAGCATTATGAATTCACACGTTACACGTTTACACATAGCCTTAAAGATGGGTCGCTTGAATGCGTTATAATGTGGAATGCGCAACATATGTGTGGTTGTGTATGCGAATTTGCACTTGAATGTCTAGATTTTGTAAAATTCCTATGTAATGAAGGTGATATTCTGTCACACAAATTTATGAATTAGAAATGGAATAAAATATTGGCGAAATTGAAAAGAAACGAGTTGTGATCAGAATTTATAGCCCGTTTGAAGCTGACGTAATATGAAATAATCGAAAAAGAATTAATTGCATTTTCTGATTCGCTCGTTTGTATAGATGTGCGTGCGTGCGTGCGTGTGTATGTACATATATACATAGAAAATGGAATTGTGTAAGGCGTGCTGTATATTGAACACAATCGCGCTAAAGCCCACTTTAAGGCGAATCAAAAATAGTGTTGTCTATTTTCGATTTGTTTTGTTTTTATACTTTCCTAACACAGTATAAAATAAAAGCTGCCAATTCTGAAATAGACGAACAATTGTAAGCAAAAATGCTGTCGTTCAAGTGCACAGATTATGCTAGCATCAAACAGATAACTGGACAGATTACGCTAGTACCAAACAAAAACTTCCTTCTCGATCCCTTATTCTATAATAATCAACCTAAAAACTGAAGCTCGGTGCAAGTCACTTCAATCCCGTTAGGACAACATTTTTGCTTTCGATTAAATACAATTGTATACAGTAGATCAGCATGCAATGAAATTAAATTTACAAGAAAGAATCTTGCGATATATACAAAATTAATATTAGAAGTCACTCTTTATATACTTAAGTATGAACAGCAGAACAAAACTGGACTGAAGTATCATTAAAAGAAAAAAATAACTTATGCCATATATACACTTTCTTGATAAAACTGCTTAAGGAACTTATTAGTGTGTGAATTGAAGAGTACGAATGTTGAAAGAACGACCATCTTGTACGAGTAAACGTCTCCCGTGGTGTAGTGGTCTTCTATTTTAATGGAAAGAATGTTTCGAGATTGGAGTGAAACACACAGATTCGTAGCCTGTTGTGTCTGCCCGTTTCGACGAGGGCTGTTTGCTATTTTTATAAGCAAAAGATGAATGTATGATTGGTTCAATTTAAATTATATGAACAGTGTTTCTTTTTCTATACAAAAACCGTTCTGTCAAAGAATATGTGAAATCGTTAACTTTTCCCATTGAACTCCTTGGTCCCATTAACCGAGGAATCCTGAGATTAAAAGAGAAACGCGCCACGCGCGTGTTTAAATTACACCGCTGAATCTCTAGCATAGAAAGGAATTAGAAATGACACTGCAACATGTATATTTAATTCTTGTATACTTCTAATAGCGTTTCATTGTTCTGCTTAAAGCAGATTGTATCGCGCTGATGTATGAACTTTAATAAATTATCAAACTGTTTCTAAAGTCACAACTTTCTCGGATTCATGTTAATTACTATGTAATTTATTTTCTTTAACATATTGTTTATTTTACTCGTACATACCTCGTATATACCTTGATGTAGATTCATCAAAATTGAGAAAAGAATGAAAATAATACTTGATAAATATATGTTCACATCTGAATTAACAATCACTTCGTTAATGAATAAAACTACAATGAATAAAACTACGAATCCGTAAATCCATACTAGGAATAGCAAAATGCATCTTTGAAAATACATAATTCATTATGTTACTGTGGCAATACATTGCGCATATGTATCAAACTAATATCCCTTCAAAAAAATGTAGGATATTTCGCACATCTGAAAGTTTCGATCGAGATCCGATTATCTAGACTGATTTATATTTTCTTTATTGCGCAGCATGATTCTTTCCATGTAACAAATACTTATCAAATTATCAAATCTATTAATTCTTTTGTGCTTGTTTTTCTTTCTTCGATATCGCCTTCTTGCCTTCGAGAAGATCGTGTCGCTCTGAATCTGTAAGTGATTTTAGGGTGTTGGTAATTACGCCAGTTCCTAAAGTTACCATTCCATCTCGTAATGTAAAACGTTGTCCCTTCTCCAATACCATTGGTCTTATCAATTTTAATATGAATCTATAGTAAAAGGAAACAATGAATTAAAAGATTATATTTTATCCAATTTAGCAAATAAAAATAAAAAATATATAAAATTAAAAATAAATTATATAATAAAATTCTTAATTAAAGATAAATTATATAATAAAATTTTTAAAAAATCAAATATCTTACGTGCTGTCTTCTCCCGGCATGGCCATGTCTTTCCCTACTATCAAACATTGTGCTGCAACGTCCCACGTCCTACAGAACATCTGTACTTGTATCATATTTGCAATCGGTTTTTTTCTGCCGCCTTCTTCCTTGCTTAAAATATACACTTGTGCTTCCACATGATCATATGCCTTCATTGAACCAGGTTTGCACATTACCATTCCTCTTCTAACTTCGTCTCTTTTTACACCTCTCACTAGAGCGCCGAGTTGATCTCCGGCGTGGGCTTCTTCCAATATTTTATGGAACATCTCTATACCTGTGATCACACTTTTGAAAACTTTATTGTAACCAATGAATTCGCAATCCGTTCCCTTTTTTATTTTTCCGCGTTCGAGTCTACCAGTGACCACGGTACCTCTACCAGGAATAGAATAAACATTTTCTACCGGAAGTAAGAAAGGTTTATCTAAGTCTCTGATTGGAGTTGGAATATGTTTGTCTACTGCATCCAACAATTCCAGGACAGATTGTGCACCGATTTCTGGATTCTTTCCTTCAAGCGCACAGAGCGCACTGCCTTTCACTACAGGAACGTTATCGCCATCGAAACCCATTTCAGAAAGCAATTCCCGTATTTCCATCTCTACCAACTCTACCATTTCTGAATCAGCGGCGTCCACCTTGAAAACATCGAATACAAATTTAACACTGTATTCATTATTTTATCCCACTGAAATATATTATATCAATAAATACCTTATTAATATATATAACAATATACTTGATTCCAATCTGTTTCGCAAGAAGCAAATGCTCTCTAGTTTGTGGCATTGTGCCATCTGTAGCAGCAACAACCAGTATAGCACCATCCATTTGAGCAGTTCCCGTAATCATATTTTTTATGTAATCAGCATGACCTGGACAATCTGTATGTCCATAATGACGATTTTCTGTCTGGTATTCAATATGTGCGACATTAATGGTAATGCCGCGAGCTTTTTCCTCAGGAGCATTGTCAATCTCATTATATCCTTTAGCTGTTGCTAGTTGCTTTTCAGACAATACTGTTTACAAAATGTTCTATTAAGTAACATCTTTATTTAAACAGTGTTAATCATTTCATAAATAAAATAAGTACTTTTGGTAATAGCTGCTGTTAGAGTTGTTTTACCATGATCCACATGACCAATAGTACCTATATTACAATGTGGCTTATCACGGCTGAATACCTGCTTCTCTGCATAGAACCTCTGGCTGGTGATAGTTGGCAGAAACAACTGAGTGTTCAGTTGACAACGATACTAAAGAGATACATTTAATAAGTAGATAATTAATTTTTATAATAACAATCAAATATAAAGCAAAGTGAATTGATACAAAAATTAATAAAAATTAGTAAAAATCAATCTATATACATTAATATCAAAATGTAACATCAAAATATTGCATTTTTTATTGAAATACCAAAATACACGTGTTTACGATCAATTTTTCATAAATAATGGTTTAAATGTTGATTTTTATCGCGACCCGCGAGCGTATCGGTCATGAATTCGGATACGGCTAAATACGTCGTTGATGACAATGTCCACTTACGCAGTTTGGCAATTGCTTCGCGAAGATGAGCTGCTTCAAGGTTTGCTTAAGCACTGAAACAAAAGCATAGGTTTACGTGATGAAACTGAAGCATTACGTTACCCGCACGCGCACTATAACCCCATCTCCTCCACGCGAGACGATCCGATTCGATAATCGGATAAGGAAGAGATCTCGGCGATGAGATAGTACGCAAAACGTTCCGCGGAAATTCGTCAAAAAGTCTCATTGTTATTGTCAGCGCGGTCATATTTTGCGTGTATATATTCGGCAGTTGCTCTTACCGGGACTGAAAATCGCCCTTGTGGAAATGAGCGCCATGTCTCTCGATATAACGCACCTTGTCGGCGTAATACTCAGCGATAGAACGAACGAGAAAACTGAATGGACGTCGAATGCGCGACGTGTGTTGCCCTCGTGTGGATTGCGCGGCAACTAGATCAAACAGTTATGATAATATAAATCGAGATCTTTATTTCAACAGAGGTAAGCAGTGGAGAGAGAGAGAGAGAGAGAGAGAGAGAGAGAAGAATAAGAAAGAT